AGTTTGTGATACGAAATATAAAATAATTAAAACAACCATGCAATGAGAAATGCGTCATTAATATAACAATTTATGGTTTTAATTGATTGTCTATTATTAATCAGTTACATAAAATTAAACAAAATTTTGTTTCAATTTCAAAACTACATTACAATGCTATAATCATTAGTTACGGTACCCTATCAAGAAACAAATATTGGAAGGTAGAGTTCTCTAGAGCAAAATATAAACATATGTATAGTCTTACCATATAAAGAGAATTATTTACTTAGTAGCTTATGGGTAAGAGCTTATTATACAATTTAATTAAAATGCAACCCCCTTTAAAGGCCCTTATATACGCGACCACAAGTCCAAATTGATGTTACAACAGTTTAAAAATCAGTACATAATAACTATTCACAGCACTTAACCACACATTAGTTAACAGCGTCACGCACAAAACGATCACAAAATCACTTCAGTGTTACATTTGATTGCATTGACATTATCTAAACTATATTTATGTATGTACAAATCAATTACACTGTCCAAACACTTTAGAGTGACTCCTCGAATGCGGCCATCAAATCACTCTGCATGTTCATATCTATTTGTCCAGCCAACTGAAATAAACACGAAATTATAAAATACTTAAAGAAAGCATTACACAAATCGACATTATAAACATACCCAAGAACATCGGAATACCTGGTAAAGCTGTGAATATATACCACTTAACAGTTAGGAAGGGAGATTATTCTGCCGCCGTAAGTTGAAAGGGCGCTTATGATAAAAACTCAAAACCGAGAAAGTAATGTTTAAAGAATCGAAATTAAAAAAATATTTACTTTTCTCGGTACATATTTCGGTTGCGGTAATTTCATACCTTATCCACCTAGGAAAAAATAAAAATAGTGAAAGATCGGCCTTTTTTACTGATCCTGATGCATACTGATAGTATGCATAACAAAAGTGTGGAAAAAATGTCACATACGCCGTTTCAACTAACGGCGGCAGTATCTTGGACATAAAGTGCGACGTGTTGACATTCGTTTTATTTGTACGAAATATTTTTTTTGATAATTATTTTGTACTAATGTTACGATCTACTTCCATGCTATAAATACTTACGGCCTCGCGTCGTCGACGCTCCTGTTCACGCTGGCGAAGTCGTTCGCGCTCGGAGGCCGCCGGCTTGTCGGGTGGCGCGGCTGTGGCGGCTGCGGCCGCAGGTGGGGAGGCTCGTGCCACTGGTGACACGCTAGGTGACGCCACTTCTGCGCTCTCCACTTTCCGAACGCTTGGCGCCACTCTATATAAAAATAAAAATAACCGTTAAAAAAAATTGTTGTCCAGAATGGACCTGTATTCGTCCTAAAGAAGTTTGTTGCAGAAAATGTTACTATGACAATTTTAATACAAATTCCAACATGTACAACTTCTCCACAAAATATGTTTACCATCACTGTTGAAGCAAGCAATAATTAATGAAATGAAGATTAAGTATGTTCACAAAAAATCTTCTACCTTAGCTTATCTTCATCTGGGTGCCGCCTTTCTGTTTCTTGTCGCTGTCGTTCCCTCTCCGCGAGTTCCTTTTTCCGATTTTCTTGTTGCTCTATCAATGCCCTTTGACGATCGATTTTCTCTTTTGCTTGTTTCTTAAAGGCCTGAGATAGAAGTACAATATATACACGTATACATATAAAAACTACGAAGAAACAAATAGACTGACTGACTACAACCCGTGATAAACCGGAATAAATTTAAAAGACTTACTTGAAAACTGTCCATTACAGGCTTTTGTTTAACTTGATGTGTAGGATTGATAGTAGGAGGCTGCTGTGGACTACCGGCTTGAGCTAACGACGACCAAGAACTAGCATTTTTCAAATTTTGTTCTTGTTTAAGTTTAAACGCCTGAACAAAGTTAGAATTCTTAACATCCTCCATTTTCTTTTGTTCCATTTCGTACTTAGCTCTATCTGAAATATTATTTGTTATATTGGGAACTCCCATGAGATCTTCAATAGGTTTTGGCGTAAGCAAAGGTTTGTTGATTTCTTCCTTTTTATTAGCAGGCGTTATCAGACACGAAGAATTAGGAGCGCTGTGATGAGACTGTGCGATCACTGTATGCGAGGCAGGAGGTAACGGGTCGAAAATTGACGACACTGGTGGGACACTCGCCATGCCTGGTATGTTCGTATTTAAATCCGGCCGTAGGACATCACGGTCGTGGTGCATAGTCTTTTCTAGAAAACCGTTATGCGAGGGATACATTTCAGACTTTATTTGATCGGGTACATGGGTCATATCTGTCAAGCCGCCGAGTTGGGCCATTAGACTATGGGCGTCCGGCATGACAGGTTGTTTCGGCAGGCTGAACTCTTCTTCGAGTCGCATTGAAGACTCTGATTCGCTGACACCGGCATTCATCGGCACGTCAGCTTTCAAACTTCTCTCCAAGCTAGCCAGTGATCTTTCGATGGGATCTATGTAATGAGGAACATCCACTTTATCGAGGCCGTTTCGAGGTTCAGCCTTAACCACCGGCTTCGGTTCACTCATTTCTCTAGCTACAGGCGCAATAGATGAGACCGGCACACAGTTCGCAAGAGTAGGAACGGGGGCAACTGGTGGAACGAGAGGCACGAGCGCAACGGGCGGCGCCACCTGCTCTTTGAGCTCAGTCACGGGAGCAGGCCCGGTTGCGGGTGCAATGACAGCTGCTTCCGTCTTCACAACCACAGGCGTAGCTACAGTTGTTGGTATCGTTATCGCGTTACTTGCCGGCGTCTCAGGAGCCAATGGAGCTATGGATTTCTGGAAATGACGCAATTTGACCTTACCGATACGTTATGTATGCAAATAAACGCAAATTAAATTATATTTAAAATTATCGATATTTACAATCTGTAAAGGAGCCTGATGCTTCTTCCCCTTCTTTTTAGGTGTCCTTCCGGTGCCTGAAATAAAGGGATTCAATATTATGCAAGAAAAATAAACTATTATTTTGAAGAAAAAAAACAAAAATGATATTTTGATCATAAAAACGCGGAATACAAAACAATTGGTACCTACTTGTTGCGCAGTTTACGTTGTCCCAACATGCACAGTGTGAAGCTACATCCTTTGTTTATTCACTGATATTTACTGGTGCTTTTTGGCTATTATTAAAGACTTACATGAACATGTCATTCGAAATTAAATGGAACTTCAGATCTCAGGGTAATAGGTACAAATAAAATTCAATGTAAGTTACTTAAAAGATTTACTTACATTTTTGTTATATAATGAAGTATATACAAAGTTTTCTTCATTCAATCTTAATATCTAGTAATTTAAGTCATGTGGATAGATTAAATAAACCTTATATAAAATTTAGTACACATGGTGTTTCTGTTTACGCACTTCAACTTACTACATAAACGTAACAACTAAAATGTTGCAATGAAGCAACTTTATTGTACCACAAGACGTTACTTCATAAACTTTGATATCGAACATGATAAATAGAGGTGTATTGTTTCAATGATCCAAAACTAAAATTCAACGCATTTTAATCTCCATTGTTTATTTATTGGCTTGCTATCATTTACGAGTATACAATAGACTTGGTTGTTCTTTCCTTAGTCCAAAACGGGAGTTGAGGAACTCTAAGATAAACATATCTCTAAACCTTAACCTAGAAGTAAGATCTTTCGAAGCAATTTTCAAATTGTACTTGCCCAATATTTTCATCAGTGGTGCATCAAACTGAAAATATTTTATACCACATTTCATTCAGGAATGTAGTCTAACTTTATAAATACTGATCACCAAACTCTGGTACAAAATGGACTATGTATAGGATAGTTCAGTTTGTCTTTAAATTAAAATAAAACATCTACACACGATATAAAACATTATAAATATATGCAAATATAATATTAAGATATAAAATTATGTATAAGTAAAATGGTCAACATTCTACCCGCCATCGCATCGCAGTGTGTAGGATTAAATAAAATGAACCCCTTTTTACTATATCCACATTTGCTATCACCAAATACGTATCTAGCTTCTCTGCTAAATAACGGTTGTTCTAAACAACTAATTTCAGTGCTTTTAAAATACTGCTGACCTGTACATTTTGTTTTCTTCTATTTACTCATTCCTGAATTTGTTGAAGATACATAATAATGAATTAATATTATGAAAGTGTGTTGAAAAATTATGCCTAATTTATAAATATTTTCGTTCGTCTTTAATATGATCACAACTATAAAAATTAAAAATTATTATTACAATTATACTTAACAAAATTAGGGACATTTCCATATAACGTAATGACAAATGGGAGTTAAGATTTGCTCACTCTCGGAAGTATACTAATGCATAATTCTTACAAAAATAAAATAATATTATTCAACATAGTTGTGCCTAGTTACCGGTCGAGAACAAATTGCTTGCTGTCCCTTTTTGTCATTTGGTTATCGACTTTTACATAAGCCGGATGGTTACTGATGGACACATGATTTTTCTTTGTATGTAAAACAGTACAAAAGTAACATGATCACTAAATTAAAATTTTCAGTTACCCAAAAAAAACCGGCCGAACATTATTTACAGCATGTATAGCTACATGAGGGATCCCAGAAGGGATCGTAGACACAGACATCCGTTTATTAGGATTACACAGTATTTATTACATTTACTGTTCCTACTATTATTGTTCATCACAAGCTAGTAAAAGTTTTTTGTACATAATTGCAATAAACTTTTTGCTCGGCTATTTTGCTCAAATTAATAAATTAACCAATGTAGATTTGTAGCGAAAACATAATACTTTGAAGAAGTGATCCTACTAAAGTTGTAATTATTTACCTTTATATTATAAAACTGAAATGGTGATAAAAATTTAAAAGAAAAGTAGGTTAACACCCACGCTAAAAATCGGTAATATCCTACCGTTATAATAATCATTTGGAATCGAACCGATATGTAATATTTATCATATCATATCTAAGGGATTAACCCTTTAAGTACACAAGGCGGCCGAGGCGCGCTGACTTTTAATCGTTGTAGACTTTATGATTGCACTACGAGCGCGTAAAATTTCCTAAAATGCTATGCACTAAGAGCACTCGGCTGCCTGAATGTCTCATTAGTCCCTTAAAATACGGATATCCTAAAGGCATAATTACAAAAAAGCGGTGAAAATTTTATGTGAAATTCTTTATGATATATTCCAAAATAAGGTAGTAAGTTTACAAAAAATTCGTGAAGCACCTGCCTGTAATCTTAGTATGAAATTCATTAAACGGGCACCATTATTTTTTATTGTTAAATCAATACATATAAGTAAATTACAATTTATAAAATCTGCATCTGCAGTCAATAGCGCAGCTGCCTGTGGCGTTTAAATGTGGCGACAGTTTTTAACTCGGTCATCAATATTAACACATTACAGTTACAAATATGTATTTCGTGGCTATTTCGGTTACATATCAAAAGAATGTTATGTATCACCGCCATTTCATTATATAACATCTCAATCGAAAAGTTTGCAAACAATTGGTGAAGGAAGGAAGCCAGCTTAAAGTACTATTTGTTTCAAAATGTCTATATATTTGTCACACATTATATAAAATTTTTGAGAGCAAGCATCAGTGTATCAAGCACTAAACCAATAAAACATACCTTTTCAATGCGTTCGAATTTTTAACTACAACATGTCACAAAATACATCCTCGTTGTAACAATGAAAGTTCAGCCATTGGCTGGAATAATTTTGCTTGCTAAGATGGTATCCGTCCTTACACAATTGTTTGCATTACTGGCTAAGTGAACGCGTTCAGCTGTTGCGGGCCGGGGGGCCGGCGCGCCAGCCGTCCGTCGATCCTCTTCACAGCCACTGCTCCCCGCCCAGACCCACACGCTATCTAGCCCCGGGTTTGCAGTCAATACACTGACCCTCACCATTTGCCGCATGACTCAGCGTGAGCTCAGTCAACAACACCGATTGTGTTTTCGTTACCACACTCAAAAGCAATTAGTATACCGTGAGATCTGAAGTATCCAATAAGAATTTATAAGAAGTTTAATCTTAAGGATGCAAATGAAATAACATCGCGTTAACATTCGAGGACATGACATAGTTAAAAATATTAACATGAAAAGGTATTTTCCTATTGGTTTATGAATGCAAACCAAACAAAAATATTTCTTACCGGCACCAGTACCATATCAGCGAACACCAAAGCTGGCTTCTCCTCCATACTAACAATTCGTTTGTGCCATTACAACATGTTTATATTGCGCAACAACTTCGGACTCATATCATCAAAGGAATCAAAGTAGGAATTGTTGGTATCCCTTCCAATATCACAGTAAGGAAATTATATTCAGACCTACATAACATTACTAAGTCACACATAAGATAAAACACAAAATATATGTATGGATAAAAATGGGAACGCAGCAGCCGCTGCAAGCATTCACTGCTCCCAAAAATAGTGTCTGTAATGGCTTATTGGATGAAGAAAGGTCCGTCCCTATGAAAAATATATTGCATTTCAGACAACTACTTTATTTGCATTCCACTTTTAAGTTTATCGTATAAAACCAATTCTAGGTTCGCAAACCAACCAACCTCACACAACCATACACAATCACTCAGTCGACAAGTCCGCAATTTAGCTAACAAAACGTAATTCTAACATTTTTAGGTTATCAAGGATTCAAAAGGCAACATTCCTTACTGCCAAAACGGTTTTTTGCAAGTACCTATAGGCCAAACCTTACATTTACAATATTATAATTTTGTGCACTTTTTTAATTTTTAAGGCTTTTAGAATTTTTAATTATCTTTGTATTATATTACCATAGTGACATTAAAATGGGTCAAAGTCATATACAAATATGACAACTACACAACCAACTAAAATTTAATCATAAAAATCTTTCAGAACTGAACTGTTCTGATATCAATTGTAAAAAACACCTATTATCTATAACACCTGAAATTTTAAGTTTTTGACATCTCAAATATGTAAATCCTGAATATTCTTCTAATACGATCAATCATTCTAGTATTCCTGTTGCACTTTAAGGCTATTCACATACTCAAACAAAACAGCATACTTCAAAACATTCCAAATTACTTTCATCCAGTCACTGACATGAAATTTCAGACTAGAATACACATTACATGCTGTCAAACCACATTATTGCATTCCATATTATTTTAAAACACAAAAATATACCACAGAAGGTCAAACATGTGGACCGATTTTGGTAAATCCATGTTTTGATTGGGATGGAAATATAAGAGAGTTCAAGATCTCAGTAAATTGAACATATCGCCATTATGTGAAATCTTCCTTAGTTAAATGCAGTTATCGTTTACTAACTAGGCATAGTAGAAATGTAATGTACAGCGGTACGAGTGTTGGGCGAGTGCGGGCGCGCGAGTACCGGTCTGTGCTATTATACTTTGTGTGTGCACACTAGAGTCGAGGCGGAAGTCACGAGCTAACCTGCTTCGCTGTCGCTGCTGTCGGACGAGCTCGTGTCGGTGCTGGACGACGTATTGGACGAGTCCGACGATGAAGACGAGGACGACATGCCGCCGCCTAGCGCCTCCTTGCATCCCTCTGTTGACAAGTTGCCAAAATTAATATCTATCATCATTTAGCATATTAATTTGCAATAATAATTTAACTAGCAGTGGTCAAGCCCCAATAATTGTGGGCAACTGATAAAAAATAAAATTCTTCACTAATCCATTGTAGTTAAGCCTCCATGTACAAGATATTAGCACCCTGCCTTTATATGAATAAATCTTACGGATTTATAGTACGTCCAGCAATGAATATCCATCAAACAGTCTTATCATTTTATTAATGGTCAATCGGTTTAATTAAATTTTAGACATTATGCTAAAAAACTAAAGACAGCGTCCTGCATATTAGTAGCAGTAGAGCTCCTTGTGAAAGAGTTCGCCTAGGGAAGTACTGCCACCTTACCTACATCTGCCGCCAAGACGTAACGTGAGCATTACTGCGTTCCAGATTTAAAGGGTAAGTGTGCTGGGGAAATTGTGAAGCACATGGGACTTGTTAACTTAATAATATGTCTCAAAGTGACGGGCGCAGTGGCAGTGCCCCTCAGATCTTTACTGCAACTGTTATGGACAGGCGTGTCGCTTAACACCAGGCCCACGACTTGTTCGTCCCGTCTCTTGATATTATAAAAAAAAATTGTTGGTGAAATCACTAAGATCACTGTTGAAATTATCTATGGTTGAAATAAAGCACTAAATCAATGGACAGTAATTTCTGTAAAGGTAGGTGCTTAACATTATAAAAAGAGTAACAAAATTATTAATACCAACCTTTTTTAGGTTGCTGCTTTTTATTGGTTCCTAATTGTCCTGATACATCTTGCAATCTCTTTTCTAATTCTTGTTTCTTCTCCGCCATTTGTTCATCTTTGGATTTACCAGAAACTTTGCGATCTAAAAAGCAAAATACACGTTAGTTGAATTTCGTGTTCAGAATAAAAGACAAATAGAAGAAGTCCCACCAACATTACGTAGGGAAAAGGAAGGAAGAAGGACATTTAAGACAGGAGTTCCTATAATCATCCTGGAGTATTTTTGAGTAAAATATATTTATACACAGGGGCGGTGCGCACAACACAAGAAGACACAAAACTAAATACTAAAAATGAAAGGAAGCAAGGAAAATAATGTTGGCTGGACTCACAGTGAGGCTTACGTGTCTTTTTCCGTAGACAAGACGCTACGTAATTCTCTAGCTCTCGGAGCGTAGACGGCTTCAACGTTTCGAAGTCTATTTCAATCTCGTCAGGGTTAGAGTCCCGCAGCGACGGTTCTCTGGTTTGAATTATATGCACTACTTTGCCCAGTTTATCGCCTAGAAAAATAAATCAGTTTAAGGATGTACACATACAAACATAGAAAATTTAATACCAGAGAAAGTGCGCCATAGGTTAGAATCTGTCTGGGGAGTCTTACCTGGCAGCTTGTTGATGTCAAGCGAGAGCTGGCGCTTCTCGTCGTAGGACATGGGTTTGGCGACATCCTCGTCGTCGGTGTCGGGGTGTAGCGGCGGGTGCGGCGCGGCGGCGGCAGGCGGCGCCAAACCCTTTTTCTTGGCAGGCGCCGAACCTCGGGTCGCCGCCTTGCCCGCACCGCCGCCCCCGCCGCGCTTGCTACCAGTCTTGCCGCGCCCGCTCGGCGTCGCTGTCACATATAACTCCATTTTAGCTATTGGGTAAGAAAAAAGTAAAAAGGTCTTTTTACGAAAATTTTACGCTATTTTACAATTAACGACTTTAGAACAGGATCAACATACATTATAAAAATAAAGTTTTTTATATGAGTTCTTACCGAGCGTTTCCCCAATATTATTGGCTTTGGCTCCGTACGGCGCCACGGCGTTCGCTTTCGGTAAGCCCGGGGCGGGAACTTGCTTTTTCTTTTCCTTAATTTTCTTTTTAGCCTTCTTTTTATTATTAGATTCTTCGACGAGTTTTCTCATTTTCTCTTGCAAAGCGAGTAATTCTTTTTCTAACATTTTAACTTTATTATTTCTTTCTTCTTCAGAGTCGTCCGATTCGGAGTCCGACTCGGAGCCAGATTCCGAACTGGACGCCGAGCTGCCCTTGTCTATGTGTGGGACACCTGGGTGAACAGGTTCGTCGGGAATCTTCGCGTATCTGCGCCACACAAAACAAAATAAGATTCATACCATCATAGATGATCAATTGTACGCATCTTGTGACTCTTTGACTTACCTCATCTCAAAAACGTCCTGCAATTTACGTGCCATAGCCACGACGTCATGATCCGGTGGGTTGTATTTGTAACAGTTGGTAAATATTAGACGGACGTCGGCTGCAAACTCAGCTGCCGATTTATACTGTCTGTTGTCCATTTTTTGCTTCACTGTTCCCAAGTCCATTGGTTTCTTTATAATATCAAAATAATCGTGAAGGCCTAGTAATTCAGCATCCACAGGTTTGTAAAATGGCCAAGCATATCCCTGTCAAACATTTGGACGTAAATTCATTCACCCTCGCAATTTTTCAATAACACAAGGATTACTTTTAAAGCAAATTAAAAAATAATTGTACTTACCGAATGCTTCTTTGAGAAGAGTTCTTTCAGTATTTCATTACAACTCTTGAGAGCATCAGAAAGCTTTTCTTTGCCCTTTGCTAATTGTGGTGTCATGGCAGAATGGTGAGATGCGCCCGCTCCTCCTACGCCGGGAGACAATCCGCCCATTTTAAAGCTATCGTCGCCAGCTCGGCCAGCCTGCACATCACGAAAACACATTAATTTCATTTGAAAATTATGTATAAAGCAATAACTAACTCGAAAATTTGACATTCACAATTTTAATTGTGCAATATAAAATTACCTTCTTTTGCCGTCCACTTTCCCTTCTAGTTGAAATTTTGGCCGGTTTCGGTCCACTTTGCTGATCGATCGTCGGGGTGGTATACCCTCCCTCGAAGGCACTCCCCATGGGTGTGGTAGTGTCTGCTTTTCTCTTCACCCCTTTTTTGACCTTAAGAACGAAGTCGACGTTAGCACTGGATAAACTCAGCAACAGCGACGGGAGGAAATCACACTACCTTAGCTGGCTGAGTCTGGGAGAGTGGGACGGGCGGAATAGCGGAGACCGGTGGCGCGGCCGGTTGTGCCACGTGGAAATTGGAGGGCTGCGTGGCTACTTGCTGCGGTAGGCCGGCGTGTGTTGCAGGCGGCGTGGCGGCGGGCGGCACTGCAGGAGCCGTGGTACTGGCCGTGGAACCCACCAGTGCGGGGTGCGGTGCGGGAGTGGCACCCGCGCTCGCGCCGCCCGCGCTCGGCAACGACTTTCCCGTACGTACGCCCCCTGTCGTGACTGGCGCCCCTCCGCCACCGCCACCACTAACGCCGCCGCCAACGCCGCCACCACCGCCGCCACCACCACCACCGCCGGCTCCACCGCCGCTACCCGCTCCGCCAACTCGCTTCTTGGCTCCGCCTTTGCCACCTTTCGAGGGTAACTCGATTTCCTTTTCCTCCTTATCCATTTGGGCTATCTGTTAAGCATTGAAATATTGACTTAAGTATTCCCAAAACGATAAAACGATCTTCTTGTATGCTATAGAACTTACCCTGTTAAGAAACAGCTTCTCCAAAGTTTGTGCCATCACCACTACATCCTCACCAGGTTTGTTGTAAACATAGCAGTTGGTAAACATGGTGTTAAAATCTTGGATGCATTCTTGAGCGGAAAAGTAGTAATTCGACTCTAGACGTTTCTTGATGGTACCCAAATCCATGGGCTTTTTGATGATTTTGTGATAATCCTAAAAATAACAATTTGCCTATATAAAAAGATTGCTATAAATCATAAAAATTACCTGAATTTTCAAAAAACCAGAAAGACAATGCTGTAAAACTATTAATATTAATAAACTTGAATAACAACATAAAAATTGCAACATAATTACTGGCAGATTTAGTTTCTTGGCATCGACAGGTTGATGGAAGGGCCACGCGAACTGATGCTTCCACACAGCCTTCATCACATTCTTTTGAAGAAACTGCAGTTGATTGGTCAACCGCCCCTGTCGGCGAGGCGTCTCATCCGGCGGCGCGCCATTCACTGGTTCCGCAGAGGGCTACACATACAAAATAGAAGTTTAGCATTTCAAGGAATATGTGAACAACTATTTCCTATTTAACTCAAAATAGGCGCCTTGACGTCGAGTTGCGGACACCAGCCCGTTACACTTAGTACCTAGTAGTACTATTTCCAGTACGATGTTTACACAAACGTGGAAACGCCACAAAGACAATTACGAATAATATAAGAAATAAGATATATTAAAATTTGTTAATCAGTTTTAGGAAGAGAAGGGAGACCTTACCGTGCTAGTAGTAGCAAGAGGGTCAACCGCTTGCTGCATTGTGCTGGAGTCTGCTATCTACCTGCCAAAGCGACACAAGTACTGTAGTATGTTCATTTCATCGCTTGATGCTATTTTATTGAATTAAAAATAATATTTTTCCAAAGTTATTTCTGGTCATGCATATATAATCACCCTCGCTAGGTCGCCTTTTTGTTACTCCTTTGTATAGTGCTTTAGTTAACAACCATAGATAATTGGTTCTGCTATTTATCCCGTGCACGCGTAATAAACTAAGTAGTGACTGTATATCATATCAAAGCACATTAATTAACAAATTAAATAATTAGGGTTTCAATATTAGCACAGAGTAGTTAGGTGACTGCTCTGATTAATTGTAATGCAATTTTTTTTATTAACATTGATCAAAAATCTCACCTCAATTGTAACGAGAGGCTCATCCAACTTCTGGCTAAGAGGCATCAGCTGTATCCTCTTAAAACACTAGACCACTCTATCATATTAAACAATTGGTGCTCTTGCACCTAAGCCAAACTTCCATTCATTGGAAATAAACAGCAGTACCTGTAAAAAAGGTCAATGAATTTAGTGGCCTGATGCATATAACTTGCAACTTTTAAACTTCATGAACCCCCATAGACATGCATCAGACAGCATGACTCTAATGAGCAGATTTTATTGTTCAAAATTATGATAATAGAAGTAGCAAATATTAGCTTAAATATTTTTATTTACTATAAAGTTATGGTGCAAATTTTAATAAGTGTTGTACAAAGCTGGAAAAAACAAATGCTAGTTAAAAATTTTGGAAATACTCACCATGCATAGTACTTTTGCTGGGTAGGATGTGTGAAAAAATATTTAATATGAAGCAGCTATTTCCAAATCTGAAAGAGAGGAAAGGATAAGGTAAATTTTATTTAACAACAACATCTGATTGTATAAACTATAGGTTCCCAAACTTTTTGGCTCACCGCCCGCTAAGCATAAGATAAAAAAATTTCAACACCCATCACAACAAAAAAATAACAAGGAAAAAATTGTACACTTGTAGTGTACTTTATAAAGATAATTCAGATCTTTGTTTTCAAATGCGGTAGCAATGAGGTGCACTACCGCTGGACAGCATCAACGCCCGTCTATTGCTTAAGACTCTTAGGACTCTTCAGCACCCACTGGGGTGTGGTAGGGACCACTTTAGGAAACTATGGTACAGACTAAAGACAATTCATATTCTCTGCAATAAAATAAAGTATGCATGTTACTAGTAGACACTGTTGCCAGATTTTTCGCTATTTGGGCAACTCTGAGGGGTCACGCAGTAGCTAAAAAAGTGATCGACGACTCGGCGATATTTATGGTATGTTTGAAATAGGAAAAGGCGATTTTTGGCTACTTAATAAAACGTCTGGGGAATCACAAATTTTATTGGAGATTTTGTGGGGAATAACACTGCTAGTAGAGTTCTGTACTGTAATATTGTATAATTTAACCAAACATTAGAAAATTCTCTAATTTTTGTGTTAGCCATAACAATGACAATAACCATCAAGAGATTATTGTTTAATGTTCCCTAATGATGTAATTAAGCTAAGTAGCATCTTGTTTTGACAATTAACCTCAAACAGATGAAGTTTGAAGCTTTTTAGGTTAGAGATGACAATATTCTGTGATATATTATTATGGGATATACCTAACATTTCAATTTGCATAATGGTATTCCACTTTAACCATTTCAGATAACAATCATGGACATAATTACATCATGAGTTATGTATATAAATTTTATCCACCTGGAAGTACAGATTGTAGCATATAAAGCCACACATTGACGGATCCTATTGCTCTGGAGCCGATACTCAAACAAGTGTATAGTTTGACATGCTGTTGATTGTACCATTAAAACCAATACAAGCACAAGTTAACTACATCCAGTTATCCTGCAGAAAAATATTGTATTTCCAAAATTAATTCATTAAAATGTTGAAAAATTAAAAAAATTAAAATATCTATTTTCAACGCAAATTCTATAACAATTATTGAATCTAAAGTATTGACCACACTTGTGATGTGTATTTCACTTATGCAAGCCCTTAATCATTACACCAAATGATTGACTTCTTTGATGTCTATAACATGAAGGTTTTTTGCTAAAGTGGATTTGAGTGGGTTTGTGAGGGAAGATTATGTATATAAGCTTCAGAGATTCTTTAAATACAAAGATTGTACGGGAGACTGTGTATGGCAAACTAGTCAACTAACATGACATCAATGACAGTTGGACATAGTTATGCAAACTAGAACCAACCTCAAAATGTCACTCAAGAAAATGACATTTTTGTAAAAACAGTGTGAAGAAATAAACAGGTAAGTTATTTGAGACAAACAACGTGAGTTATGTGTAGCATTGAGAATAATATAGGGAACCAATTATGTTATATAGCAATAAATAGAAAACATTATGTATCTCTTTATTTAGTTAACGAGAACCATGTTCTAGTTTTCGTAATGAAAATGCTAAAGATCGGCAGTACTTCAGTACATGTGACATGGATCTATTTAGCATATTTAAAAAAATACACTATATGAAATTAAGCAGCATGGTTCTTTTTAGCTAAACGACTTTAATTTTGTCTGTTTTGGCTTGGTATATTGCCAGGATCTTTTGTGAGCGTGTAAAGGACAGTCTGGTGTTCTACCTAAATACATAACTCAATTTCACTCGAGGTGTGGGTTGGTTCTTGTTTGCATAACTATGTCCACATGTAAATTTCTTTGGTTTCTTTTTTAGTAGTTGTAGCATTTAGATACTGAACCACACCTCCAGATTGAACACAGCATCATGGACATTAATGGTAATTTTTTTGCATGTAACTCAATTGTTAATAAAGATCCTGTACTACTATACAACTTAGATTAAATGACTTGACAAACAGATTACTGAAAGTTCATTGTCTAAAACTATGTGGCGGCATAGTTTTAAGACTATGGACTAACATAGGAGTATGTCCTTATTATTGCATGGTTCTTTAATAGATATAAACTTCCTACATTACAAGTAATAACAAATGTACATTACTATATTATAATCAGTAAACTACATACCAAAAACTGTGATGTATACTGCAGAATTTACATATAATAACACCAATAAGGGTTAAGAGGTATTGTATTAAAATTTTAAAGCCATTCACAAGTAGACTGAGATGATGTTTAATCACTCTAGATTCAAGTTGGACTTAATTTATGTGTATTTTATATAAAAGCACAATCACACAAAACCAATTGACAGATGTGTATCCAGCTCAGTGTAAAGTGAATTGCATAAGATATTGCAATCTGTGTAAATTTCTCTCCTGCACCAACACACTATCTCTCTTTGCTATGTTATATTACTTATTCGATTACCCAATAAACATTATCATTGTGTTCTAGAAGTGTGTTAAAATAAAAAGAAAGGCAATTGGTTTATTCTTGTAAAACTAATCACCTAGATCATGGTTTGTTGCGCAACAATACCAGTGCAGTGAAAAGAAAGATGTTTATCATTTTGGTAGTGTATATCTCTATTTTATATCAGTAGCTCGCTAACTCAACAATGATTCAGAGATGGATGACAACTGATCAAAACAATGCTTTATTTACATGCAATGAAAATCACTTTTCCTACATTGCCACTAAAAGATGCAACTGCCGTTTATTCTCTTTCTTTTTTGTGGTAATCTGTATATTTACAGTATTATTTATTCTCTTATTATATGCAAGAATCATACTAATACTAATTAAACCTTTCGACTTCTAGTAATACTAGGATAAAGATACAAATTGAAATTATTTGAGCGTCGCGTAAACCAATAGAGCCATATCTACACAAAACTTGACTTACAGATGTGATCACTTTTCTTACTTACTTATGGATATAACGCTCACTTGTGAGCCACCAGAGTCTAGTTTACACCAATCTATATTCTACTTTGAAATATAAATGAAACAACCATGGATCCATTTTATAGACATTCAAGTCGGTAGGTATGTGGAATGAGAAAACATTGATTTTAACAAAAATACATTTTAATTCTACACTTTAAAATAAAAACTATGAAAATGTTTTTAATTACCTTAAAAATATTATTTTAAAATTACTTGTGATTCAAAAACAATGCACATAGACATAGTAAACATGAGAAATGTCAAAACATCATGTGGAGAGTGCATGAATCACCCCTTTTCATCTAACAAAGCATGACGCCAAAAAGCTAAGAGAATGTAATTCCATGGTCTAGAACATTCCCTAACACCAAAGTAACCTACCTACCTTTGGACGCTGGAATAGGGCACAAGCAGGGGGCTTAAGAGTAACCAAACAAACAAATTTTGAATAAATTCCGAAAGAAACTGATATTAGCGAAGTGAAAACTTAACTCATCATGGAAATGGTGTTTTTTGCTCATTAATCGTAAGTGGATCACATTAAAATCTTCTCGATATTCGTTACCTACCAACGATGTTCAATGTATTATACAAGTTATACGCAGCTAATACTAAAACAATTTCAATAAAAATCGGCTGCACTAATGCTTTAAAATCAAATAAAAGCTAATGTAAATGCTTACCACCAAATGAGTGAAAATTGCTTTACAGAGGGCACGGGCGAATTATTATCAAAATCTTACCCAATACTAGTAACATGCATCACTTTTAATAGACTAAAATTTTGTGTAAGTGTTCTAGACGCAAAGTAACATATTTACGAGCTTAAATAATAATGATAAAAGTAGAAAATTAACGGAAAAGACTTACGAATGGAATATTAACGCCAATATGGCGGATGAACTAAAAATACGATGTTCAGAATTACTTCGGCAAAGACAATTGTATTGATTTGCACCAATCTAGCAAACACACCACAAAAACACTAAGTTCATGGGTACTTGAGAACCTCATAAATCCATTATTTTATCAAAAATCACAGTACTTTATTAATAACAAAGAACAGCACAACACGGAACTTCGAAGATTCGGTCGAGTTACAGACATGGCGGCGGACAACTAAAAATGACTGCGAGCGTCTAAAAATTCATTTTGCACAAATTTGATCTGGAAAGAAAATACTATAAAATTGGCATAGATAAATGAAAACAGTGCATTATTTTAGATTCTCATCTATAGATGACATGGGGTTTCATGATATTCATAGGATTCATTCTTCTCAAATTATTTTATGCAAGCAGGCAAGTAGCTACCCTTTTATTAGTGTTGCCATTATTTTAATAACAAAACTGTTAAAAATATATTATAGCATTGGACAGAGAGCCTGGGAGGACGGGAGAGGACGGAGAGCATGGATCTTGGCAAAAATAACTATATCGCAAACTGTATATTTATGTACACATGCACACACTGTGTTTTACTGCCTTAGCTGCTGTTTGAAGATTTAAGATTGTAAATAATTACATTTATAAAAAATTCTTTTAGAAAATAGTGTATTGTATTTCTGTTAATCATGGTCTACGTGTAAAAGTTAATATAATATCTTGAGATCTCACTCGTATGACACATAGCAAACTGCTACTGAAAAAACATTGACATACCACAGATATCGAGATATCACGCAATGACCGCTCGATGATTGGATCATGATCACAAGCTCCTGTATCAGATATTTTTTTAAATTTACGTCGGCATCACCTAGGCGAAAGATTTTCAATTTGTACAACGGTTGTAAGAACTTATAAATGTTGCAAAACGTTATTCAATGTTTTTCATCTCATTCAATAAAAGTGACGATGTTTATTTATTTCATAGTTTTAGCATGGATTTTTTTGGAACTTCTCTGGCCAGCAGATTAAGCTCCGCTGCATACGCAGTCCGCAGAATGCGTGAGCTTACCGATGTTAGTACTGCTAAACTAGTTTACTTTAGTTACTTCCATAGTATAATGTCCTACGGGATTCTCATGTGGGGTAAAGCGGCAGATATTCAAACCATATTTGTATTGCAAAAACGAGCAATTCGTTCTGTGTACCGTCTAGGTTCTCGGGTTTCTCTCAGAGAAAAGTTTAAGGAGACTGGTATCATGACTGCGGCATCACAGTACATTTACTCAAATATTTTATATGCCCGTAAAAATCATAATTTCAATAAAAAAGAAGATATCCTTAATATTAACCTTAGAGCTAAGTCCAAACTCATGACACCACGATTTCGTTTAACCAAGTTAAAAGACTCTTATGGGGAACTTTATACGTTTTTACAATAAGATTCCAGAGCATATATTAAGATTATTATTTCCTAAGTTTAAAAACTACATTAAAAATATATTACTTGAAAAGTCATATGACTAAATAAAATTGAAGACTACGTGTTAGATAAAGATGTACGGAAAAACGACATGGCTCCAGAACCTACAGAAATTTTATCCAAAGTATATTCCATAGCATTTAAGTTTATTTGAAAAGAGCTAGAGTTTCTTACTCGTTCTTCTCAGGGAAGTCAGCGTAGTGAACGAGTAGTAGCTTCAATGTAACGTTTTCAAGTGTAAATTTATTTTACCTATGGAATAAATAATTATTTGACTTAGACTTTATACTTACTTTTTTATGATCCCTTCAAAACGCGGGTTAAGAAAAAGTCCAGTAATAAGTAATACGAGATTTTAAGGTGAATATTTTTTATTCATGTCACTAAAATCAATTTCAGCAATTTTGCAACTATCTATTTAGTATTATTTTTATTAATATTTTCTTGTTCGAATCTGATAAATCCACGATATTGTAATATTGATTATATAGCATTACCTTATACAAAAACATACTCTTCAATAATTATAAGGCACATACTGTCACAAATTATAACATACGGTCAATAGGCTGTTGTTGCACAGGTTGTATTACATTACAGTGAGCTATTATATGTTTAGATAAAATTTGCAATAATATACACAGATACATAAATACACTTCACCATTGACATATGCAGGCACATAGGTTTTGTCAATTTCATGTCTCAAAATGACGAGTGCACTGGGAGTGCCATTCGAATCTTAACAGTTTAAAGCTCTAAATGGCACTGCAAATCTTACCTAATAATAATAATTTTACCACCAGGCGTACTTATTCGTACTAACACACTTGATAATCATAAAAAAAATCCTGATAGTTATTTGTAATATAGTGAGTAATAGGTACTGCTGCTGTTGGCATAATGTGCAAAAATCCCTTATAGTCACTTAGCCACAGTATGATTTATGAAGATACATACCTACTCACTAAACTCTGCTTTAAATATTCATAAAATTGCAGAAAAAAGTTGTAAATTGGTCACACTAAGAATGATTAGGTTTGGCGCGCGTCACTTCAGTGCTGCCAATTATAGCTCTATTTTCCTAACTAGAATCTGGCTTGCCATAAGTAAAATACCGTACTGTTATCGACAAATACCGAAGAAAATGATGGTAGAAACCACAAACCAATAAGTACCTTTGACTTGTTTTTTCCATCCCATTATTTTTTTCCATCCTTAGAGGATGGAAAAAATAATACTACCCTAGTTTCTACTTTAATTTCTACCGTAGTAGGACTAAGGGTCGTATTCTAGAACTTACTCAATACTCAAGTCAGGACTTGAGTATTGCAATGAGCTCTGAAAATCATACTCAAGTCCTTGACATTAGGGTCGTATTTCCAGTGCTTGTGTTGCCAGTGCAATCCTGACTTGAGCTTTGAGTAGAGTTCTAGAATACGACCCTAAGAGTCGTATTCCAGAACTCTACTCAATGCTCAAGTTAGGATTTAAGCAGACTTGAGTACGATTTCAAACACTGGAAATATAAGTCTAGTGGCAAGGACTTGAGTATGATTTTCAGTGCTTTAAATCATACTCAAGTCCTGGCTTGAGCACTGAGTAGAGTTCTGGAATACGACCATTAGAGTCTATTAAGGTAGAAACCTATAGATCATACATTGTATATTTGTAAAAACCGATAATTCGCAGTTAACAACTAACATAGTATTATCTCATAAATTGCGTTATGTTATATTTTATCTTAAAACTGCGTTATATTATAATTTGTTTTCAAAATTTCTTCGTATACGGTTTAATTTCAAAGTGACAGGACAAGACTGTCACTTTGAAATTTATTAAATAGGTAATATTAATATAATATAACGCAATTTTTGAGATAATACTATGTTCGTTGTATGTGCGAATTGTTATCGGCGTTACGGAAACAAAATTTTATGAATACTCTTCCCATAGACAGCGACGTTTACATTTTTGATAGCGGTGGGCGGTGCCTGACAGTGACAGATGACTCGTGGTTGACGGAACTTGTTTGCTTGCCCTCCTCCCCATCTCCCTCTTTTTATATTAGACAGCGAAAGGTCGAGTACTTTTACTTTACTTTGAATTTCGTTTTACTTTGACACCGAAATGATTTTGTAAATTTCTCTATTGGTATTTCTTTGTTGTACATAGTAATTGTGAGTTCTACTTTGAATATTTCAGTGTGAGGCTTACGATACCACTCAAGAGTAAGTATTGTTTCAAATTATATAAATACTAAGTATATAACGTAACAAAATGGTTAATTTGCTGTTTTAAACTCACTAATATAAATCTATCGACTGAATTTTACTCATGTAACTTTAAATTATATTGGTTAACCCATTCCATAATATTATAATATACAATAATAGTGATATGAACAAACACAGCATAAATCAGATATCATTTTAAGTACTACGTTATCGTAGGTTATTTAGTTGAATTTGGAATAGATTACGACGTTGTGGATAACCCAGAAATAAAACATTTAAACTGCTAGTTCCCAGTGAAAGAAACTCAAGTAACCATTTTTTGGAAGTCCTACAAAATCGGCCAAGTGAGAGTAAGACTGACGCATGCACGGTCCTGCAAATAAAATATTTTGTGTAAATCAAAAAGTAATAGATTATTTTAAATTATTTTAATAATTTTTTTGTTTTAAAATACATCGTCACAGACTATGCAACTTGTACTCAGCTGTATTGTTTGGTTAAAAGTGTACAGATTATGATTATCCTTATTTCTGGCTGAATTTAGATTTAAGAAAACAGGTGGAGGCTATTTAGGATGTTTAACCTTCTATAAAATGTTGTTGATAATATTTTTAAATGTTATTAAGAAATATATTGATACCTCCCACATAAGTTATTGTAATTCATTACACCTTTGTATATATATACCATTTTTACTTTTTAAGTCAAATATTTACTTTTTTATGCATATCATCAGTTCCATATTTAAAAGTAAAGGAATCACTTAGTGTTATGTTAACTTTCAAATATGGAACTCATAATATACATAAGAGAAGGTTACATTATTTAAGTTAAAAAGCAAAGAATGGTATTTTGACTTACAACAAGTTACGTGGTAAGTAACAATATAGGTCAACATGATGTAATTCTAGTTATACAACTGAACAGTTTTTAAAACATGTGCCAGTTAGTTGGATAATTCACTTGTATGTTACAAGAGTTTGTTTTTTGACATACAGAACCCTAACAGTAGGTGAAAGTTATCTTTAACTAGATCTCTTGTACAATGTAGTTCATTATACATATGTCTTATACTTTGATTCTGCAAGAGTTGTCACATAAGACTGGGAGTAAATGAGTGTCATTGAAGAACAATCTAATTCGTCTATTGAACAATAACCTTTATTTATTAATGCCAAATGCCTTATGCACATGCCACTTGTTAAAATGTAACTATAACATATTACTTCATAGTACCCTGTTAGAGACTGTCTTGTAATTTTAATCAACTTAGAGTTGAAATTCTAAAAATACATCTTAATATTTAACATTAAAATAGAGTAGGTACAGCAGTAAAGTTTGTAAGTGGTAAATTAAATTCAATTAGGTTTTAAACAAAAATTAAAAATCAAAACAATTTTTTGTAACAAAAGGCTGATTTATTTTTTAGAACAAAAATGTAGTCTATTAAAGTAGATTAAAGGCTTCTAGAGCTATAAAAAATATACCCTATTAAGTTATTTAATCGTAAATGTAAGTAAAATGAATTAAACAAACAATAAAACCTTAGTTATAATATTTTTATAAAGTCACAACAACTTATTTGAAAGGACATGATACAAATTTTAATAGATATTAAGCAAAAATATTAGGTTTTGTATCAAAGCAAAAAACTCATAATACTTACTGTAGCTACTGTTTTGAAATTATTGCCTATTGAATATGAAATTATTGCATAGTTTGGATATTTTCTATATACTTTTATGGATTTGAAAATATTATACATTGTTGTTTGTCACTGTTAAGTATACTTTTCTATTTCATTGATTATTAAATAATAAATAATGCAAACACTCATAGCTCTGCACTAGGGAAAACCTATGTCGCGATATACAGCTACAAATTACATCCAAACTTAAGAGAGGAATAAATGTAGGCAATACAAATATTTTTCCCGGCCCGCGATTCGAACCTGGGACCTCTGTGTGAATGACCAGCATGGCAACCGTTCGTCCACGAAGGAAGTTAGGGTTCATTATTGCATGTAGATATTCTTTACATCATAATAGGTAAATCACATATTGACAAAAATATGATTTATCGGATTTTATATCTGACTCCTTGGTGTCAGTGAACAGTGAATGTATTGGAACTTCAAATATAAATAGGAATGTTTGATTAGTTAGGTTAATTAAAAAACATTTAGTACGGTCATTTATTATGGAGTCTGGTTGGCTCTGATGCATTTAATATTAACAAAACAATGTCTGACTTTATTTCAATAGTAACAGGTATCCCCATAGTAATTGTTTTGAAATATGCTGGGAATGTACCCAGAACTCAAACTTGTTTTTGGTTGTATGGTTTAATGTTTAGCAAACTTAAGGCCAATTCAGCTCAACAGATTTTCCAAACATGGCCTGAGCGCTCTGATGGCATCCTGTTCCGTATGAGTAATTGCTTCGAGCTCACGTGCAAAAAGTAGTAAAACAGTTTTGATTGTAGTCAAACTAGATTTTTAACATTAAGTTACGCAACATGGACCTACATATGCGTCTCTTTGCAGGCCTGTAGCCACTAGGCTCTAAATTTCTCGGTTGTTATTATTACGTTTCATATTTCGACTCGGTTATAATTACGTGCTTTGAGTTATTAAAAGTAATTGATAATTTCACGGTGACAGTGGATATACTGATGCATGTCGAAGTAACTGGTTTCTTTTAAAATAAAAAATCATTAAATTATCAGAATTACGAGACTATGGACCATTCAAGTCATCATGGACACATGGGGCATGAAGGACACAGTATGGGTCACGAGCAGAATCATGGGGACCAGAACACATACAATCATGAAAAACCAGTAATGCCAGCAGACCATGTGAGTAATATTCATAATCGAATTTATAGGTTTATAACACACAACAAAATCCTTACTCCTGACTGCACTTGCTGCTGTTACATTTTTTTATATTGTCACATACATTTATATAATAATATGTAACATTTAGGAAATTAAACTATTTATCGGATCTAAATTGCGTATATTTGTTTTTTCAAACAAACCAACATTTCGGGCGCAACGTTCGGTAAAGGGTGACACCCGTGACCATGGGACCTGTAAAGGACCGGGACGTTGGTTTGTTTGAAAAAACAAATATACATGATTTAGATCTAAAAAATAGTTTCATATCCTATATGTAACAATCGCGACTACTTAAGAACTCGATAATATGTAACATTATTTAAAAAAAATTAATGTTACGCAAGCATAACATTGTATTCGTGGTTTTTCCCAATATAATATTAGGGGTTAAAGTATGAAATTGCCGTTTTATTGCAATAGG